GGATCTCTCGGTTTAATATTAATATTAAGCGAGACTCCACTATATATGTAATAATAATAATAACTAAATTCGAAATTCGAAATTCGAAATCTTGGTCAAATTATAAAATTAAAAAAATATTCTTTTAAATTATGTCAAACAGTTTTGATTCTCGATAAGAGTGCTGGATAATTGTTTGGCAAATTTTAATAAAGGTACAGAAAGATATTCAGGCAAGTATGATTCCATATGTATATATTGTAATGATAATGGAGCAAAAGGAAGTCCGTAGTTTATACAAGAATATTTGACGAACAGATGTCCAAACACACCTATTGAATAAAACAATTTTATCCTGAGATTTTTTGGATGAAACAAATTCTTTGGCGACTCTAATTCTTGGAACGAGGAGGTTTTCTAATAATAATGATCAAAATCAAAAGAAAGAAAAAACAGTAATCAAAAGGATTGAATGATTTTTATGATTCAAAATATATGCATCACAAATTAATTTTTATTCAAATTAAATTATGATTATTATTTCGAATCAGACTTTGAATTTTGAAATTCGATTTTGATTTTTTGATATTTTGATTTTCGAATTTCGATTTCCTAGTACTAGACACTTTTCTATTTCGAAAATTAAAGTAAATTTTCGAAAGTTTCTAGTTTTATTAAATGACATTTGCCATCAGTATGAGTTATAGCTTGATTATTTGAGTTTACTTTTATAAAAGAACATAGAGGGCAATCGATATATTATTGATTGGAATTTGGAATTTGGTAGAAGAAAGGTTCATGTAGAGAGTATTTCAGATGAAGTCGATTTAGCTAAGTTATCAACTTGATCATTATACTTAGTGCCTGAATGCGATTTAGTTTTATTTTAAAGATAATGATTTTTTTATAGGATGTTATAATTTATTACGAGTAGTGTTGGGGTAAGGTTATTATCAAATAGTTGGATATATGATTATCTTGCAAGTCTATTTGATCTTGATTATTCAGAATAATATCTATATCAGATAAGTCTTGGTTATTAGTATTAGTGTTTGCATCGGTGATAAGACCATCTGGGTTCGTATCTAAGCTAGGCACAGCATTAAATGCAACATTTTGTGTAACATTAGATGCATGTAAGGAAGAGATTTTGAGTTGTAGTGTCAATAGAAATTGGAGAGATGGTTTGAAAAAAGATGTATTATATACCAGAAGGAAATGAATTGACGGATATTGTATTGATTATTTCTATAGATGTATCAATGGTGAATTTAAGAGTTGACAAAAATCAGTGAGTTCATTGAATGAACAATTCAAATTACATGTAAAAGATGTACTGCATTTATGAACAAAGATTTATCTAAAACAATGATTAGTGGTACTATATTTTATATACATACATACATATATATATATATATACTGTATATGCTGTCTTTAAAGTAAAAACAAATGAATTTTATTAGTTTTTTGTATAAATCGTGAAATTTTAGAATGCTTAGTGTTGTAAAGATCTCAAAGTAAAAGACCAAAATCACCAATGAGTACTAAACTGTTTAACCAATCAAACTTTCCTTCGTTAGTATTAGCTCCATTACCATTAGAATGACTGCGTCGTATCACGAGGAAATCCAAATATCAAATTCCGTTTTCGCAAATTAATAAACAATATTAAATTTTAAGTTGCCATTCGAATGAGAATAATGATAACTTTGTAAATTTTCCTCTTTAAAAAGACCTACAAGTACACAAGGTCTTGTCCAGACGCAATTTTATGCTAAAGGTATCAGGTAACAGAGATTTACATAAATCCGCCGAATGATAAGGTCGAGCGTATTCATTAATTTGTCTAATTAAATTTGATCGCTCATAATTTCTATCAGATGACGAATAGCAAAAATATAAATTAATGCAAATCTATTATTATCTATTACTGGTATAACAATGTAATCGATCGTTAAAAATTTAATCATTTTTCAGAGTCGTGCATTGAAAGTGATTTCGTCACCAAGAGATACATTGCATAATTTCTTTTTAAAGCTTTTATTAGAAATTCATTATTATTATAAAAAGGTTGTTTTTTACTAAACACGGAAATAAACATTAAAAATAAACAATAATCTGGCATTTAACAAATCAATTAACAAAACAAGTTTTATCTAATTTAGATCTAATCGACATTTATATCCAACAATCAAAAAACCTAGATCAGATACATATAATAAATAATTGCTTATAATAACAATGATTGTAAATCGTCAAATGATCGATTTAATTGAATAATGATCAAAAATAAATATATATATACAGTAGTATATTTAAATAATGCTTTATATAGGAGATCGGGAAATTATAGAGATAGAAAAATAAAGTTATAAATTACAACTTATTTATTGCAAAAAAAATCAAGTTTAATCAAGTTTACATAGTTTTATTAATTATAATATTCCAAAAGTGAAAAAAACAATAATATATGATAAAGATTTCGTAAAAAAAAAATGATTAGAAAACATCAAAAATTTTATTTGTAATTATTAAAAAAATAAGGACTTAATGCTTTTATCTACACGTGATATTTAATCGAAATTAAAAGTTTTCAGGGTACCGGTTAATAAATAATTTCGGGGTCGACTAACAATACAATATATTATATATGTATATGTATTATATAATATATAGGTGGATCGATAGATAGAAAATTCTTTCAAAGTGAATATAACCAAAAACAAATGTTTTATTTGGTGAATTCTATTATCTTTTCCTTTTCAAAAAAAAAGTTTGGCAAAGATGCAAATTGAATGCTTGACTGCATTGTTCTCGATAAAAATAGATATTAGTACTCCAACACTGTATTTATCGTAAATTACACACATTGTATTTTATGAGATAAACTTATTTGGAGATAATAAATGAGATTCTTATCACACCTGCATTAATTATGCATTAACTTTATATAATTTACACTTGATATTAATATTTAGAAAGATATAGACAGTCTCGTGAGTATTTGTTTAGGTTACCTAGTACTTTTCTTATCAAGTGTTCCCGAATTATGCCCTTGTGTTAAGGCTGATAATGCAGGCCGAAAATCATTTCTTTATTAAAAGAAATATTATTTTGGGTCATTTTGAGTAATTTTATTTATTCTTTTTCCCAAGTAATCTTGTTATTACAAGAATAATATATATACATAATTCTAAATATGTTTACTTGAACGACAAACAAAAATGTGTTGATAGCAAAAAGTTTTCTTGGTTGCACGAACATTAAATGTCCTATTGAAAATTTCCGATTGGCTAAAAAAATTAATCAATAATATCGACCTTTCCTTTACTTTTTAATGGACTGAGAATTTGACCCATTTTATGATATTAATATTAATTTTTGAACTTAAATTTTCAGTTCATAGATCCAATATAGAAATTTGTTCGATAAATCGGTCATGCAGGAGTGGGCCCGTGTGGTCGACTTATTAAATAAACAGACAGAGTTATCAAATTTCAAAACTTATATGTTACTTTAGAGAAGCATCTCTCACTTCTGATACTACTGAACGATTTACCTTATTATAGAAATTTCGTCGTTGATAATGTAATACTCATATTTTTGTCCTCTTCTTCCACTTCTGATGCTTCTTGTACTGCAGTAATTATCTCATCATCTCGCCGTTTCTATATTCTGTATATAATCTAATTAATAAATAAATACTAGCGAGTTTATTTCATCCCGTGTAACAGAAATTAACCACTGACCAAAATTCAGAAGCATAGTAGAAATGTGAATAAAGATGTGAAACCAACCTATTGTGATTAATTTAATTATACTCGGGCAAAGTTAGATTGACTGACTTGGTGACTTTATATACGTAGATTGACCGACTAAATTTAAATGCCAAAAAAAAAAAATTTTTTTGGCGACTTATAAAGGAGACATAATTATTTAAATAATAACTTGTTTTCTTTAGTAAAACCTTATCGTTATCTTTTAAAAACTACGCATAACTGGTTTGTTCACAAAAGTTGTATATAGTACAAAAGATTATATGCAATAATAGAGACCCAGAATAACATTCTTTGATTGGTTTGTGTTACAAACCAATTATTTAAATTCAAAATGCCATTTCCGCATTTTGGTGCAATCCCAAATATTAATATATCCCGTATTCAGGATGTGTGAGTTGATATTAAGTAGGAAGCAAGCAAATAAAATAAAAATCAAGAAGTTAACCTGTTAAAAATGAATATGAAAAACCATTATTATTATGGATTCACAAATAACAAATATGCATATATGGCTTACAAATTTTGATAATATTTGTGGAGAAGATCAAATCTTGATATATTTAGTGATAAAGTTTGTTGCTAAAAAAAAAACTTTGTATTATTATTATTTTGGGTACAATACGTTTCACGTGTTATTTAGCAAATTTTTATTCATTGATAAAGAAAACATCTTCATCTAACAAACGCATCTTATCTTCGATGCTTATCATAAAAATTGTTTGAAATACAAAGTTTATGCCGACAAATAGCACCACGTGACAAATAATAATTTTGTGAAAAATTACTAAAAAGGCAACATCACTGAATGACTTCCCATTTAATCAATTTCCGAAATATATAATGGAGCATTTGATTCTTTTATTTTATATTGGTATTAGATAATTTATATTTTCAATCACAAACGTCAATTCACTCATAATGATAAACTAAACAATCACAATCATTAAAATTCAAAAATGTTTGATCTTCATATAATAACTGGGATTCCCTCTTCTTTTTTTCCTTATCTGTTCCAAGTTTTTTTTTTTATAAATAGTAACGATATTTTTTTTTTTTTTTAAAGAAAAACTTTTAGAACTGATTAAGTTTTTTAACGAGCTTCTTATGATTTAAAATTAATTTTTTAAACTTTTAATTTAATTTAATCGAATTTAAAATTAATTTTTTTTAACGATAAACTTTTAATAATTTAATTTTAATTAATTTAACATTTAAAAAACCCCAAAATTTATTAATAAAAATGGTAGAGGGACCTATTCTTGCTGAAGGCATTGGCTGGGGAGTCGGTAATTACCTCTTCATTCATCACAATGATTCATAATTAATGTCACGTGGCATGATTTAATATTTCTTCCTTTACAATTACAGTTGTTGGATTTGGTGCCTTCTTTGCCGTTTTTATGTCACTTTTGACGATAGCACAAAAACGTTATTTGCAAGAATATCAGACCTCTGAAATGTTTATGACGGCCCATCGTTCAGTAAAAACTGGGTTGGTGGCTTCTGCTGTCGTATCATCTTGGACTTGGGCTGCCACTTTACTTCAATCATCTTCTGTTGCTTACAGATATGGTGTGTCCGGGTATGTCATATATTTTAATGATTATGATGATAATGTGATAACTAATGACCAGGATTATTTATTAATAATTTATTCTCAAAAAAAGACCTTTCTGGTATGCCTCTGGTGCAACAATTCAGGTAAATTTTTTTTTTTTTTTTGAGAATTTTCAATTTTCATGTGACAAATACTAAAATGAAACTGATCTTCATTAATTTAGGTGCTTCTTTTCGCTATTTTGGCCATTGAAGTCAAAAGAAAAGCTCCAAATGCCCACACTTTTCTTGAAATCATTAATGTCCGTTATGGCAAAGCTACTCATATTGTCTTTTTGTGCTTTGGTTTGATCACTAACAGTAAGTCATTTTGTAGTTTTTTTTATTCTATAATTATTTTATATTCAATATTTATTTTACAAGATTACTTATAATTATTAATTTATAGTGATTGTAACTGCTATGTTGTTACTTGGCGGCTCAGCTGTGGTAAATGCACTTACTGGTGTAAATGTTTTTGCAACATGTTTCTTACTTCCTATCGGTGTCATGTTTTATACCTTCTTCGGTGGTATCAAAGCCACCTTCTTGACTGACTACGTACACACCACTGTAATCTTTATCATCATTCTTACTTTCGTGTTCACCGTCTATTCAACTTCTCCAATCATTGGTTCACCAAGCAAAATGCACGAATTGTTGTCCATGGCTGCCCAAAAAAATCCTGTGACCGACAATGAAGGTGGCGAATACGTGACTATGAGTTCCTTACAAGGTCTTATTTTTGGCATTATTAATATTGTTGGTAATTTCGGTACTGTATTCGTCGATAATGCCTATTGGCAACGTGCTATTGCTGCTCGTCCATCATCAACTGTCAAGGCTTACTTGATTGGTGGTTTGGCATGGTTTGCCATTCCTTTCACTCTTGCTACTACTATGGGCATTGCCGGTGTTGCTCTTGTTGCTTCTGGAAATATGGATCCATTGACTGAACAACAGATTGATGAGGGTTTGGTCTTACCTTTGGCTGCTGCTTCTCTTTTGGGTTCACCTGGCGCTGTTGCTGTATTGGTTTTGGTTTTCATGGCTGTGACGTAAGTATAAATTTTTTTTTGTAATTATTATGGAGAAGAGGAAGAAGAGGATAGGATTTCAAGTAATATTAATTACTAATTAATAATAATAAATTTTTTATTTATTTATTTATTCATTTAGATCTGCTGCTTCTGCTGAACTTATTGCTGTATCATCTATTTACACATATGATATATATAGAACATATATTACATCTCATGTATGTATATTTAAATTTTTTTTAATTTTAAAAAAAAAAAAATAAATTAATTAATTTAATTAATTGATTATTATGTATATAGGCACCAGGAAAAAAAGTTATCAACCAATCACATTATTCAGTTGTTGCTTTTGGTATTATCATGGGTGTATTGGCCACCATCCTTCATTTTATTGGTATAAGTTTAGGCTACCTTTATTTACTTATGGGTATCCTTTGTTCCCCCGCCGTCATTCCTGTCGCATTTACGATAACATGGAAAAAACAAACCAAGAGTGCTGCTGTCGGCGCTTCAATTATTGGTCTTGTTTGTGGTGTCGTTTCTTGGTTGGCAACTGCACAAGGCTTATTTGGTGAACTTACAATTACCACAACTGGTCATAATTATCCTATGTTGGCAGGAAACCTGTAAGTCATTTTTCCTCTTGATGAGTAATATTTATTATTATAATGTTGCTAATAACAATTTTAAATAATAATATTATTCTTATTATTATTTAGTGTGTCATTAGGAATGTCAGGATTAGTAGCAACAATTTGGTCATTAATCTCACCAGACAATTTTGATTTCAACATTACAAAAAATCAACTTGAAATTTTAACTGATGACGAAGTATCAACTCATGCCATCTATGATGACCCAATAGAGCATGATCCAGCGAGATTAAGGAAAGCGTTCATATTTTCCATTCAAAGCTCTGTAGTCCTCACAATAATTCTTGTCATTATATGGCCATTACCGATGTACTTCTCTCGTTATGTTTTTTCGGTTCCTTTCTTCACTTTCTGGGTTGCCATCTCTATGATTTGGGCTATAATGAGTACTTTGGCTGTTGCTATATATCCGGTACATATAATCACAATTGTAATCAATTGATATTTATTTAAGAGTTATATATATTAAAAAATTTGTTTTTTCTAATTATTATATATTATGTAGCTTTATGAATCAAGAAGTAGTATTGCAAATGTAGTGGGTGGTATGTATGGTGATATTACTGGTAAAAGAAAACCAGTGACTGAAACCAAACGCACAGAATCTGAACCTTCGACTAGTGAAAAAGATACAAATCAAACAGTTGCTTAATTGGTTATTATTTCATAAGAATATTCCCAGGAAAAAAACAATTTTTTTTAAATTAATTAATAATTTTATATACTTTATTTATTGTAATTTTTTAATAATATATATGCATATTTATTCATTTTATGATTTTAATTGAATGTAATTAATGTGATCTTAGGAGATAAATTTTTTTTTGTTAGAATTGATTTTCATAATAAAATATATTCTCCACCAGAAACTTTCTAAATAAGCATACTTTTTAATATTCAGAATATAACTAAAACTGCGACGAAAAATTCAAGTTGGTGAAAAACCAAATATAAATGAATTTCATGCCCATTCTATATTTTTGTTTTGTCCATACTTTAAAATTGCAATAAGTAGAAAATGGATAAACTATGTCTTTGAAAGGGTAAATAATTAGTAACCACCATTCTGTAAGTTTTATCATTTTATTTGTTTTTATATATGATAATGAATTTTATATGAAACTGTACTTAATAATTATATTGGAATTGATATGTGTTGAAATTATTGATAGATGCCAATAAACTTGCTCTTGAATCATTTTACAGATATACAACAAACCCTTTTATTGAGGTAAAATTTTACAAAATTGAATTAAAAAACATCTGCCTTCACACGAATTAATTCCTTCAGGAAAATATTTGTGTAAATGATAAAACGTTATTTCAGTCAAGCGAATTTGAATCATTGGAAAATTCAATCTTAAAGAGATGATTTTATGAAATATATAAAAGTTTGGAAAATTTCACATTATTATATAATAAACAATTACAACAACTTTACCATCAAAAAAACCTAACAATTGAATCAAATACAATTAAACAAAAGCATACATTGCAAGTTGGATTGATAAAAAAAATCCACCATATACTTCACCCAGAAAAATTAATTATGAATAGAAATGATTTAAGGGCAGCTCCAAATCAATCAGTTGGTGGTTATAATCAACTTGACTGGGATAAGTTATTAATATAAAAACACAAACGAAGTTTTGTATTTAGTAATAGAAATAATAGAAAAGATTTTATCTTGAAAAATTATTGGATTCAAAATATAACTACAATGTAAAAATTAATGTTGGCGAAGAACCAAATGTAAAATATTTTCATGCACCTTCATCCATCTTATATTTTTTTCGTTCATATTTTAAAGATACTTTAGACAATCCAACAAAACAAAATGGGTACTATATTTTTGAAAAAGAAAATCCTAGTATATTTTTATTTAAAACAATTCTAAAGCAAAGTGTTTATCTTAATTTGTAAGTTATAGTTGTCAATAATATTAATTTTTCTTTTTTTTTCTTTATTTTCAGTCAAAAGAATTTGAATTATTGGAAAAACCAATTCTATTGGCAATTCTTGAAAGAGATGATCATGTTATCAATGCTGAGATAGGTAATAAATTTTTTACCAATTGAAAGACTGGTTGTAACCTAACAACAGACATTGCTGAATCATACATTGAACACCATCTTGTTTTTAAATAACCTTTTAACCCTCCACCCTTAATCTTTAAATCTTTGATATAACTTTCAAGAATAGAATTTGGTTGATGGGATTTCCTAAAGGATTTTATAATCTTATTGGATTTTCAAAGTAAAGATTCTGAAAATGGACGCTTAAGAATATCTTTTGATATTAAATTAAAACAATGGGCAATACACTTTAAATTCAAAATATTAGGATATCTTCTTGCAATTATTTCTCTATCAACATGAACATTTCCTTCATTATCAGACACAATTGATGCAAATTTTTCAGGACCAGCTTCAATAAGAATATTATTAATTTGTTCAGCTAGGAACTTCCCTGTATGAGAATATGATGAAAAATCACAATGTTTATACACATACTGTTTATAGTCTGGTGTAAGGATCAAATAATTCCATATTAACTTGTTGTTGGAACTTGACCAGCCATCAAGTGCTAATTAATATTAAATTAATAACCAAGTATTAATACATTAAAATAAAAAACACCAGTATAATAAAAGTCTTTACCCAAAGTTAAATTTTTTTGGTTCTCAAGTTACAGGTTAATCTTGGTATTAATATTAGTCACTTCTGCATCAAGAAGTCTTCCTGAAATTGCTTTTCTATTAGGTGGTGTGTGGACAGGCCTAAGTTGTCCAAGTAACTCAATAAAGTATGGATTCTGAATAATATTAAAAGATACACCACACATTCGAATGCTCTGATTAACACTCTATTAATATTATCATTCCTTTCTGTGCTTTCGCAGAATTCAGACAAACTTAGTTGTTCTTGTATATTAGAAGAAATTTGATTGCTTTCTTTTTTACAATGACATCCAAATAGTATTTATGAATTTTTCTATTGCAACCACCACATTCCTTTGCCAGATGTTTTTCAATGGGTAACCTACATCAAAAAATTTGGAACAATAGTGACACCTTGCAGAATAGTATCCTTTGCTATTTTTAACCTCACTTCCTTTCACAAAGTGTATCCAAATATTTGAATTTCCAATTTGATTCTAAAAATAAATGAACATGATATTTAGAATTATGTAATTATGAAAACATAACATATTTAAATAATATAATTAAATAATTTTTTAATTCAATCATGGAACTTTTTTATATTAATAGATGATGCACCATTGTCAGCAGTTAATAAAAAAATAAAGTCAACAAATTTAAATTTTTATTTTTTATAATTTTCTTGGGTTATAATCTTAATTATCTATTAAAAAAAAAATTTGTACTACAGTATGTTTTCGGTTTAAGCTTCGATTTTCAGTAGAGATATTGACTTTTGGTTTTTGAAACAAAACCAAGAATCTTACTGAAAGTGTTTCAATAGCTTGACATAGTTTCAGTGGACATCCCTAGTTGTTATCATATGATTGATTGCTGATGAGGATCAGCAATTGGGTGGTGTTTGATTTGTGTTATACCTTTCTTATTAAAATAAAGTCAATGTATGTGACTGATTCAAAATTTTCAACTTGGGAGGTCGCAACTTGGGAGGTTGCTGTTTTGGATTTACCTGAATTCAATGTTTGAGTCCAGGGTTGCTATCTTGTTCGTGGCATGTCTGCTCACCAACAACCCTACCCCATTTTAATAACAAGTTCAGTTGGTCAAATAAAATTAAAGAGAAACAGAGAATTTATGAAAATGATTAATTTATACCAAACGAAATCTGAACCATTTTATTTCCAGCTTTCACCTTGATGCCAGTGATCATGGTGACTATCACAATAGGAGTGGGCATAATCTAACTGCCATATTTATACTTGTGAGATACATGCTCTCATTGAGCTATGCTCCTTTATAAACCAGGGTGGGTTATATGGGCAAAAGCCCCCATTTAAAAATAACAAGTCAGTTGGTCAAGTAAAAATCAAAGAAACAGAAAATTTATGGGAATGATTAATTTATAACATATATTTTACAGCCTTTCCTCCTAACATTAAGGTTGCTTGCCAAAACCTCTTAATGACTGCCAAAACTCTGCCAAAACTTTAATAAACAATTAGTGTGTAACCTGCTGAAACTCTGCTAATTGTTGAAATCCCTAAATGCAAAACTCTGCCGAAACTCTAACAAACAATTAGTGCATTACCTGCCGAAACTCTGCCGATAGATTTCCAGAGGAGTTTTGGCAAGCAACCATACCTAACATCAGAGCTCAAATGCAATTTCAGGGTCACTAACCCTGCTCTGAATTGCAACCTCCTGTTGGAACAAGTTGCAGATTCTTGTTGCTTTGATGGATTTGGATGTTTACATGGTGCTAAATTCATCAAGAGTTGTGACTTGGTCACAAAGTCATCCTTACCCTAGAGGTAGGATGATTGCAGGAAACTTTTCGGCTAACATGCCAGCAGCTTTCTCTGGTCTGGGAAGATTAGTGAGTGTCATTGACAATTTATGCAGTTTCAGTAAACTCCAGGGTCTTGTGCCCCCTCCCTAGAATTAGGTTGCATCACTGTATCATCAAGAGCATTGTGATCAGATTAGTCTTGTGTACATGAGGAACTTGAGAGAATGATTGTAATGTTCAAGGTAACATACATGCTTCAACATCTGCCAATTTCCAATAATCAAACATCTCATATTAAATTGTTTCTTTTCAATGATGTACTGACTTTATTTATAATAATATTAATATTGATCACGATTATGCAAAGCAAAATACCAATCGTTTACCATCTTGATAAGAATATTATAATTACCCAGCAAGTTCTGCTCCATGTTTTGATTTCAATTAAAATATTTATAGCAAAAAAGACTACAAATAAAAAAGTAAAATATATATATCAATACAAATAAAAAATAGTACACTGTTATTAGCACTTCTGCGTTTTGTCTATCAAAAAATAAATCAGTCAGTCAAGATTTCACGCGATTGACATGTCTACTGTCATAGCTATGTAAAATTTTTGTGAAACACATCTATTAAAATCGAAAGAACTTTTTACTGTGGTGCAAGTCACTTAGTCGCTGAACTTTTTATTGGCTGTGTAGATCCTATATCCTCTCCAAAAATGGAAATGTATG